TCCTGGCTAGGAGTCTTAGGGAAAGCTGGGATGCTGTTCTCACCTCTTAAGTGTCATTTGCAATGGGGAAGTCTTTGTGCACACACAACTGAAGGATCTAAGCCAGGGCCAGATTTAGGTTTGATGAGACCCTAAGCTACTGAAGGTACCAGGGTCCTTGATATGTCCAGCTGTCCTTTGTCAACAACAAATGGTCACTGTTTTTTTGTGTTGAATATATGCTATATGGTAATTGATGGACCTAATAGGTATCTCAAGCCAATTGCACATGCTACCATGCAGCCAGTCCATGCAGAACGTAGGCACCCTATATATAAAAGATAAAGGTAAAGGGACCCCTGACAGTTAAGTCCAGTCGCAAACGACTCTAGGGTTGCGTCGCTCATCTCCCTTTACTGGCCGAGGGAGCCAGCGTACAGCTTCCGGGTCATGTGGCCAGCATGACTGAAATATACTCAGAGTCGCAAAGTGATTTCATGCTCTTTATTCAGCTCATAGTGGTGAGGAGGAATGAATAAAAGTCCCCTCACCGCTTCTGGCGAACCAGAGCAGCGCACGGAAACGCTGTTTACCTTCCCGCCGGAGCGGTACCTATTTATCTACTTGCACTTTTGACGTGCTTTCAAACTGCTAGGTGGGCAGGAGCAGGGACAGAGCAATGGGAGCTCACCCCGTCGTGGGGATTTGAACCACTGACCTTCTGAACGGCAAGTCCTAGGCTCTGTGGTTTAACCCACAGCGCCACCCGCGTACTTCCCTATATATAGAAATGAGCAAAGCAGTGATATTTTAGGGAGCAGGCTAGCAGGCGCGGGCCATGACTTATATCATAGGAGCCTGCACAACACAAAACACTGCTGCTGTATGTAGCTTTTATTTTATTTGTTTTTTATCTTATATTTTGGAAATGTACATACATGTTTTTTTCTTTAATTTTTTTTAAGAGAGGGGGCCCCTAAGCTATAGCTTGTTTAGCTTACATGTAAATCTGGCACTGATCTAAGCGGATCCTTGGATGGCTTTCAAAGAGGATTAGACAAATTCAGGGAGGAGAGGGTTCCTAATGATTGCTAGCCAGGATGCCTAAGCGCTGCCTCCAGCAGTGCTTCTGAACACCAGTTGCTGGAAACCACAGGAGGGGAGAGACTGCTCTTGTGTTCAAATTCTGCTTGCTGGTTTCCCACAGGCATCTGGCTGGCCACTGTGAGAAGACGATGCTGGGCTCAATGGGCCATTGGCCTGATCCAGCCGTCCCTTCTGATGGGAGTTATAGTCCAGCAACACATCTTTGATCAAGGGTTTTCTCCAGAAAAGCTGTTTGTTGTGTGTTCATCCTACTTTGGCTGCAGAAAAGCATATGCAGAGGTCAGAGTATATGCTGGTCTTTATGGAGCGTTTGTTCTGGTTTGCTTTGGCAGGGCGTTGGCATGGCGATGCTCATTCACCCTGACTTCCCTGCTGAGTGTTTATGCATCTTCCTGTTAGACACTCATCCCCCCCCTTCCCCCTCCCTCTGCACTGCCCTATCGGTTTCCAAACCTCAGCTTCTTCTTTAAACATAAGATAAGATAAACTTTATTCACATTAGCCAATGGCCATGGCAGCATAAGGGATGCGGGTGGTGCTGTGGGTTAAACCACAGAGCCTAGGACTTGCCGATCAGAAGGTTGGCGGTTCGAATCCCCGTGATGGGATGAGCTCCCGTTGCTCGGTCCCTGCTCCTGCCAACCTAGCAGTTCGAAAGCACGTCAAAGTGCAAGTAGATAAATAGATACCATTCCAACGGGAAGGTAAACGGCGTTTCCGTGCGCTGCTCTGGTTTGCCAGAAGCGGCTTAGTCAGCCAGTAAAGCGAGATGAGTGCCGCAACCCCTGAGCCGGCCACGACTGGACCTAATGGTCAGGGGTCCCTTTACCTTTACAGCAACATAAAACAAGCAATATATACAAATAAAAAGACAACAATGGGTAAAAAGTGCAATCTAATGACCAAGATTATCGTTCAGATAGTGGCCCTTAATCTCATTGCACCCTCGATAAACCTAGCAACCTTTGCTGTTGTCTGATCATTTTGATCTGATAAAAGAAAGAACAATGTGGCCGCAGATGGGAGGCCTGGGATGGAAAGTAAGAGTGGGGTGATGATCTCATGCCTCAGATCTTTGTAAAGGGGACAGGACAGGAGAGCATGAGCCACTGTTTCCAGATTGCCATCTCCACAGGGGCAGAGTCGTTTCTCAGTTGGAATCTTTTGGTATCTGCCCTCAAGTACGGCAGAGGGCATCACATCCAATCTGGCCAGTGTGAAGGCATGTCTGTATTTTGGGATAGTTAATTTACGTATTCAGATATGGTGCCAGGGAATCAAACTGGGGGGGGGGTGGCATACCAAGGACAGTATTTCTTATAATTTTCTTTAAAGTGGATGAGTTGTGCTGGGGCAACCAAGTGCTTTAATCCACTTTAATTGCACAGATCTAAATTCAGGGTCTGTGCTTTAATCCCTCCTGCAAAAGAGCAATTGTCTGGAGATGCCCTTGGAGCAGCCTTCGGCCATTTGGCACCCTCCAGATGTTTGGGACTACAACTCCCATCATCCCTGACCACTGGTCCTGTTAGCTAGGGATGATGGGAGTTGTAGTCCAAAAAACTTCTGGAGGGCCGAGTTTGCCTATGCCTGCTGCCTCGGAGCAGGGTTTCCCAAACTTAGGTCTCCAGCTGTTTTGGGACTACAACTCCCATCAGCCCTGACCACCGCTCCTGCTAGCTAGGGATGATGGGAATTGTAGTCCAATAACAGCTGGAGACCCTGCTGTCTTAGAAGTACATCCTGGATCTGAACCCTTTTCCAGTCCACGTTTTCTTACCTCTGCCTCTAGTTGTGACATGGTAAATGTATTGTTCATTGCAAATAACATCTTATCTTGAACAGAAACATTATTTGACTATTTCCTCTTTCCTCTTTTTTATTTTTTAATTTAGATTCAGTAAAGCAAACCAAATTATCCATAAAGAAATATTCATACCATTAAAACAGGTTGAAAGCAGCATAAGGCTTTTATCTGTAAACTTACTGTTCCAAAACATTCCAAAACATATCAATTTACCCAAAAATCTATTAGGTTGATTTATATGTATTCTTTTATAATATGCTAATTTAATTGTTGTTACTATAAGCTAGGTTTCCCCCCAAAACCGTTCTCATGCCCCTCATTTTTAGCCATCACAATCTTTGCAGCTGTTACAATGCTGATTGCTATTTCTCGATCATTTTCTGGGGTAACATCCTGGGGTAACACAGTAGAAATATTTTGGCTTCTAATGGGATGTGGTGTCCTAACATATCAGAAATACTAGCCTCAACAGGTTTCCAAAATATTTGCATTTGAGAGCAGTTCCAAAAGTTGTGTACATCGTTTGCTTTATGCAATTCGTCATTTATTCTTTTATAAAATTGTGTCCAGTCCAGTCCCCCATTCATTCCACGTTCCACAAAGGCAACAATAACAAAATGTCAGCTAAAACAGAAAAATGAAAAGTACAGACAGGCGCAATAGATGAAAACAGCTGAAAGGAGCCTTCTCCAGCATAAGAGCTTTAACCTGTCTAGGCAAATCCGTGCTGACATAAATAGATGTTAAGCTATGAAAAGGATAAGGGAGTTGGGATGACTGACTCTTCTGTGCAAGATGTCCCACAATCAAGGTGTGATTGCAGAGAACGCCCCTCTCTCACATCCTGCCATGAGGACATGAGGAAGAGCCCCTTTTCTTCCAGCATCTCTAAGGGAGCAAGCAGGCTGATGTGGAAGAAGATTGTAGGGTTGGAAGGGACCCAAGGGTCATCTAGTCCAACCCCCTGAAATACAGGAATCACAGCTAAAATGTCCATGACCAACCTCTGTTGAAAAATCTTCAACAAAGTAGAGTCCACCACCTTCTGAATGCGGCAGCTAGACTGGGGACTGGGAGTGGCCGCGGAGACCACATAACGCCAGTCCTGAAAGACCTACATTGGCTCCCGGGACGTTTCCGAGCACAATTCAAAGTGTTGATGCTGACCTTTAAAGGCCTAAATGGCCTCGGTCCAGTATACCTGAAGGAGCGTCTCCACCCCCATCGTTCAGCCCAGACACTGAGGTCCAGCTCCAAGGGCCTTCTGGCGGTTCCCTCCCTGCGAGAGGAACCAGGCAGAGGGCCTTCTTGGTGGTGGCGCCCGCCCTGTGGAACGCCCTCCCATCAGCTGACAAGGAAATAAACAACTATATGACATTTAGAAGACATCTGAAGGCAGCCCTGTTTAGGGAAGTTTTGTAATGTTTGATGTTTTATCGTGTTTTTAATACAGTATTCTGTTGGGAGCTGCCCAGAGTGGCTGGGGAGGCCCAGCCAGATGGGCGGGGTATAAGTAAAAAAAATAAATTATTATTCTCATTCTGATTCTCATTATTCTGAGAGAGTCCATTCCACTCTCACGCAGCTCATATCACCCAAAGATTCTTCCTAATATTTAGTTGGAATCTTCTTTCTTGCTATTTGAATCCACTGGTTCTTCTGGAGCTGGTGGAAACAGGTTTGCTCCATCCTCCATGAGACGCCTCTTCAGATATTTGAAGATGGGTTCCATAGCACCTCTCCTCCAGGCTAAACACCCCCCCAACTCCCTCAACAGTTCTGCAGACGGCTCAGTTTCCAGACCCTTGATCGTCTTGGTCGCCCTCCTCTGCACACCTCCCAGCTTTTCAATATCCTTGTCAAATTGATGGAGGAGAGGGCCCTTGGAAGGCTGCTAGACACCATGGCTATGTTCTGCCTCCACAGTCAGAGGCAGCAATGCTGCTGAATCTCAGTTGCTGGAAACCACAAGAAGTGGGGTGTTGCTATTCTGCTTGGACCTTGCTTGTGGTTTCCCATTGGGGCACCTGGTGGACCACTGTGAAGACCTCATGCTGGACTGGATGGGCCATTGGCTTCATCCAGCAGGCTCTTCTTAGATTCTTATGTATTTAAAAGAAGAAGAAGAATGAGGCGCAAAGGAAGGAGCCACCAGGGTATTCCTGCAGATTCAAGCTATTGCTGCCTGCCAGCCTGGTGGAGCTTGTGGCGGATGTCTCCTTTGTCCCACCTACGGGCTTTTCTGAAAGGAAGGTTTGCTGAAGTAGTGTGCAGGCTATTGAGAGAGGGATATATCTATGCTTTGTGTAACATGACCGCCTTGAATATTTTCCCTCGTTGCTATTAGTCAACAACTGCATTGTTGTATACGTGGGGAAAAGCAGGATTGTATGATCTTCATATTCGGGGCTGGCAGGACATCCCTGGGAAGTGTGGGGTTGTAAGGTGGGTTGTGGGGCAGCAGTGGTTGTACTTCCACTAACTTTGGACTATGCCGCACTCTCCATGTCCCTACCAAGTGTGTCTGACCAAGGGCATACCCCAAAGATCTCAGAGCCTGGGCAGGTTCATATGGGACATTGCAGCCCTTCAGATAGTCCAGGGCTAACATGTTTGGGGGTTTATGAATCATTACCAGCACTTTGGATTGTGCCCAGAAACAGAGAGCTAGGCAATGCAGCTATTGTAACAAGGGAGTTGTATGTACAACCTTGCTTTTGCACTAAACAGGTGACCCTCCATGTTGTAGTTTTACATCTCCTAGGACCTCCTGGTGATGGATGAATAAGAAACCCAATAAATACAAAATAATTGCGGTGATAAGAGCAAGTGCAGGAGGTGACGCTCAATCCCTAGCTCTCTGTGAGCGAGGAACCTACGTCCTGTTGCTTCCACACTCTTTGTTTCTCCTTCTCTACACAGATTAACTTTCCCATGGAGGTCAGGAATCAGACCCAGGTGGAGGAGTTCATCTTCCTGGGCTTCTCAGGTGTCCCACATGGCCAGATTTACCTCTTTGTCGTGTTCCTAGCAATTTACTTGGTCACTGTTCTTGGAAACACCACGATAGTCACCCTGATCCAGCTGGATTCGCGCCTCCACAGCCCCATGTACTTTTTCCTCAGTCATTTATCCTGCTTGGATGTCTGCTACTCAACTGTCACCGTCCCCAAGATCCTGACCAACTTTCTGCGCCAGAGGCACACCATTTCCTACAACCAGTGCATGGCCCAGATGTTCTTCCTGATGACCTTTGCAGGCTCCGAGTGCGCCCTGCTGGCCGTCATGGCCTACGACCGCTATGCCGCCATTTGCCAGCCTCTGCATTACAGCAGCCTGATGAGCAGCCACGTGCGAATCCCGCTGGCCATTGCTTCTTGGATCTGGGGCTTCCTGGACTCGGCCATCCACACCACTCTGGCCACCCACTTGTCCTTCTGCGGGGCCAACCAGATAGACCACATCTTCTGCGATGTCCCGCCTCTGCTGAAGATTGCCTGCAGCGACACCTACGTGAATGAGATCACGCTCCATTTGGCCAGCATCTTCATGGGCCTGAGTCCCTTCTTGCTCATCCTCCTCTCATATGTCTACATCCTCTCCGCCATCTTGCAGATCCGCTCGAATACTGGCAGGCACAAAGCCTTCTCCACCTGCGCTGCTCACATGATCGTTGTCACCGTCTACTTTGGCATGGCCAACGTGAACTACAACCGCCCCAGCGCAGGCTACTCCTTGGAGGTTGACACCCTGATCTCCACACTCTACTGCATCATCACCCCTATGCTGAACCCCCTCATCTATAGCCTCCGCAACAAGGAGGTGAAAGAAGCCCTCAAGAAGGTTCTGGGGGGGCAGAAGAACGAATACGCTTCTACACAGAGGAAGTGAGAGGTGGACTTTGACAAGGGCATCTCTGCTGCTCTCTGACCCCACCTTTGCCCTTAGGGAGCTCAAGGTAATCCTCCAAGACCACGGAGAAACCCACTTCATGAAATACGGATTGAGTAACACAAGTTCTGAAGACTTGCTGACATGTTGATGGGCAATTTTGCTTACGTCATTAAGCACTTGTTCCCCCAAATATGCCACCTTTGTGCATGTCCACCACAGGTGCCTATAGTTCCCATATTCAGAGAACTGCAGGCAACTTGTGAGACCTGTCAAAACTCATTATTCCAACCAGAGACCTTAAACTGTAGATTGCTGTATTTATTTACATTGAAGGCTTCTTCATGAACGATTGGCTCTGTAGGAGCCAATATATGCTAATCTCCTTACAGGTTCTCCTGTTTTCATAGGGCTGTTTCTTTTCACAGCTTGGGCCACAGCAGAGGTGACAGAGAAGCAGAAACAACCTTTGGGAGACCTAAGACCAGGAGCTCAAAGGAGAAGGGCTTGTAGTGCGGCTGCCCCTGTTCTGTGGAACAGCGTTTCTGTCAAGATAGGAGCCCACTAGCTGCACTTTCCGGGCGGTGGGGTGGGAACAAAGACATTTTTCTTCTGGTAGCTGGATAAATGGGTCTTTACAATGAGTGTCCACTTGTTTGGATTTCAGCTCCATTTAAATGTATTTGTTGTTTTTAAATTTTATTTATGCTTTTCAGGTTTATTTGTTGTTTAGTCTTTTAGTCATGTTCGCCTATTCGTGACCCCCTGGACCAGAGCACGCCAGGCACTCCTGTCTTTCACCGCCTCCCACAGTTTGGTCAAACTCATGCTGGTAGCTTCAAGAACACTGTCCCACCATCTCGTCCTCCGTCGTCCCCTTCTCCTTGTGCCCTCCATCTTTCCCAACATCAGGGTGTTTTCCAGGGAGTCTTCTCTTCTCATGAGGTGGCCAAAGTCTTATCACGCTGACTATAATAATAAGGCCAGAAGGAGCCTGGGTTTCACTTTTCTCCCTTTCTGTCTCTCTTTCTGTCTGGTGTGGTGTTCTGTATGTAGTGTTAAGGTATAGACTTATTCTAAGTTGTTGTAAGTTTAAGTTAAGTCTGCTGCAACTGGATTTCTTATGGCCAGTGCCAATCCTGAATGTCTGGGCTTTGTGACCATGACGCTCATTTGCCTTCAGTAGCAGTAAAGCTCTGCTGAGTGAAATACAATTGCCTCTGGTCTATTTTCGGGGAATCCTGCAATGTGTTCAAGTTTTTACTCGGCTAACCATACATTGGAATCTACCCTGGATCTATATTGAGTAGAATTTTCAATGACACATCCAACATTCCATATTCCCTTTATGCATTCTTTGAATTAAAAGGTGGGGTAGGAATACATCAAGTGTGTAAATCAGCAACTAGCCGCCGAGCAATTCCTCCAATGGGACTCCCATTGCTCCATTCCTCTTGGCTTCCATAGACCCCCCGGGGAGAGTGGCTTTCTTTTCTCAACCCTCCTTGTTAACTTGCGTGTTACAGTTGCAATGAGAGCATCCCTTGGGTCTCACCTGGGCATAACTCCTCTCTCCCTGCCTGGGATCCGCTAGTTGCATGCAACGCAGAGGGAGCCACTCGGCTCATCCGTGGCTCAGCTGGGAAGCAGGATCTCCCTTCCAGAGCCCCGATGGCAGGCCCTCTCTTGCCACTCGGATGCCAGCGTGCTCTGGCCCCGTGAAGGTGGAGCAGGCAGGGGCAGGGAAAGGCTGGTGCAGAAGAAGCCTGAGGTTGAAGGGGAAGGACGACCTGGAGCTGAGCATCCTGACGGGGGCAGGAGCAAGCGCCCAGCCTCACTGGGCTCCCAGTGGGGGGGGGGTGCCCTCCAGGTTAGTAGCTTTACCGGACACAGGGAGGACTGGGGATAGGGAAGCAATTCAGTCTGGTCTGCATTTGAACGCGAATCTGCCCCATTCCCACTTACTGAAATGATACGAGAACAAGAACTCTGCTAGCCACCGAAATTTGCACTTCTCTGAATGTTGCAGAAAAAGGTGGGTTATAAATGCAATAAATAATAAATTCATTTATGGGACAATATATATGGGGCTAGGTATGTGGGTGGCACTGTGGGTTAAACCACAGTGCCTAGGACTTGCCAATCAGAAGGTTGGTTGTTCGAATCCCCGCGACAGGGTGAGCTCCCATCGCTCGGTCCCTGCTCCTGCCAACCTAGCAGTTCAAAAGCACGCCAGCGCAAGTAGATAAATAGGTACCTCTCCGGCAGGAAGGTAAACGGCGTTTCCGTGCGCTGCTCTGCTTCTCCAGAAGCGGCTTAGTCATGCTGGCCTAATGACCCGGAAACTGTACGCCGGCTCCCTCGGCCAATAAAGCGAGATGAGCGCTGCAACCCCAGAGTCGGCTGTGACTGGACCTAATGGTCAGGAGACCCTTTACCCTTTACCTATGTATGGAGCTGACACAGCAAGAGATTTTTTCCCCCACCCCACCCCCCAAATCTTATCCAATCCACACTTTTCAATGCACAAAGGAGTTTATAATTCTGGGCTTCACATCCCAATCCCTGAGCAGTGAGATATTTGGGAGTGCAATGTTCACTTATGGTTGACTTTCTTTGGAATGGGAGGTTACTGAAGAGACTACCATGGAGTTACTGTCTCCATGCCATAACATAGTAGCTGTGGAACATATAAGACTACATGAAGCTGCCTTATGCTGACTCAGACCTGGTCTCTGGTCTCTGAAACATTTGCTTTATCTGCAAATATAGAAGCAGAATAGAAGTGGAGGTGAACAAGCCCTCCTTCAACAGGCAGCACACCTCAAGAGATCATCTTGCTGCCCCCACCTGATTTCCAGTCTCTTCCAACTAGAAGTGTCACAGCACCAGGGGCACAAACAGAAACTAACAGTCAGAACACTCTAACCACGACATCCCATTGGCTTCCCCACATCCTCAAAGCAGAACAAAAGGTTCATTGTGTTGCCTCTTCCAAGGCAGATGTCAGGGAAAGGGAGGCAGACAGAGACGGGGGGGGGGCATGGAAACACTTACCGAGAGCCTAAACAGCACTTTTCCAGCCAGTTCTCTGAATCGGAGACTGAAATTGGGAGTGGCCAGTCTGTTCCAGGAACTAGCGATTCCCAGAAGAGAGGAGATAAGAGGCATTCCCTGTCTCGCTGGGCATGCTGGCCTAGAAAGCCACGTCACAAAAATTTAGAAGCGGCAACTGACTGAGCAACATGGAGGTGTTGTTTTGGAGCTCCGGTGTGGGCTTGGATTTTGCAGTCATAAATCTACCGGACGGAAGTGGCTCGATGCCTGGAATTTTATCTCCTAACTAGCTAGGCAGCAAACACATCCCTCACAGCAGAGGAGGAGACATCAGCTTCCTTGTGACACTTCTCATTCCAGGTTCCTCTCCGGCTTCCTTTCCTGACCAAGGCAGGCCCTGAATAATAATAATAATAATTTATTATTTACACCCCGCCCATCTGGCTGTGTTTCCCCAGCCACTCTGGGCGGCTTCCAACAAAGTATTAAAATACAGTGGTCTGTTAAACATTAAAAGCTTCCCTAAAGAGGGCTGCCTTCAGATGTCTTCTAAAAGTCTGGTAGTTGTTCTTCTCTTTGATCTCTGGTGGGAGGGCGTTCCACACGGCGGGCGCCACCACCGAGAAGGCCCTCTGTCTGGTTCCCTGTAACTTGGCTTCTCGCAGGGAGGGAACCGCCAGAAGGCCCTCGGCGCTGGACCTCAGTGTCTGGGCAGAATGAGGGAGGTGGAGACACTCCTTCGGGTCTACTGGACTAAGGCCATTTAGGGCTTTAAAGGTCAGCACCAACACTTTGAATTGTGCTCAGAAACGTACTGGGAGCAAATGTAGACTAGAGATGAGAATTCTGGGAGTGGAGAGGAAATGTCACGGCCACCAGCCAGTTGGGGATGTCTCCAACAGCACCCCTGATTCGTCAAAGCAGGGTTGTTCCTGTCCCCCCCGAAGGGAGAGGAGTGACGTCCGACCATCCCTGGAGGACCCTAACCCACCCACCACTGATTTGTAGCAGCTGGCCTTGACACCAGACTATTGGGTGGGGAGGTTAAAGGAGAAAAACCATTACTTCGATGTGAATGATTTTTGGACTAGGGGGAGATGGAGGCTCATTTGCTTATTAGTTTGTCAGTGTGTCGGTTAGTTTATTATTTGCATGTGGTCAGTGTTGTTTCCTCCTGTTTATATGGCTGGTTTTCCCCTCCCCTCCAATAAAATGTTATGTGAAACATCAATATATTACATGATTCCCCCCCTTCCCCCCATACCATTTTCTTTGCCATAAGTCACTTCGGGTGACAAGAGACTGAGAAGATTAATGAACACCAACAACACCGAATTTCATGGAACAATGGTCTGAGTGGGTAGAAGACCACTTACAATCATAGACTTACAGAACTGTAGCATTTTAATGGGTCTCCCAAAGGTCCTCTAGTCTAACCCCCTGCCATGCAGGAATTTCCTCTGTTTCCCTTTTCTGCCTGGCAACCTTCCCCTCACACGCCATCATTCTTCTCGGCACGGGAACATTCCCAGGGGAGCTGAAGTGGTGCGTCTGCTCTTAAAAAAAACCATCATCAGATCGTGTAGATCTATCCAATAACCACCCGGTTTTGAACCTTTTGTACCTGGGTAAGGTAATTGAGAGAGCGGTTGCCAAACAGCTTAGTAGGTTTCTGGATGAAACATCGGCTTTGGATCCATTTCAGTCCAGCTTCCATCCTGGTTATGGGACCGAGACGGCTCTGGTTGCCCTAACAGATGACCTTCGTAGACAACTGGATCGAGGCGGGTCGGGACTGCTGATTCTTTGAGATTTGTCAGCAGCCTTCGACATGGTCGACCACGAACTTTTGGACCACCGCCTTGCCAATGTGGGGATTAAGGGCACAGTCTTACAATGGCTGCGCTCTTTCCTTTCAGGGTGGGGACAGAGGCTGGCACTAGGGGAGGAGTTGTCGTCGCTGCACTCCTTGGTGTGTGGAGTGCCGCAGGGCATAATCCTCTCCCCTATGCTTTTTAACATTTTAATGCATCCCCTTGTCCAGCTTGTCCAGAATTTTGGGCTGGGTTGTCATCAATATGCTGATGACACCCAGCTTTATCTGTTGATGGACGGCCATCCTGACTCGGCCCCGGACACACTGACCAGATGCTTGGAGGCTGTGGCTGGATGGCTGCGTGGGAGCCAGTTGAAGTTAAATCCTTCAAAGACAGAGGTCCTCTGGCTGGGTCGGGATGACATGGGGTTGGGGGGCCAACTTCCATCTCTTGCGGGGGATCAGTTAGTGCCAGCGCCTTCCATCAGGAGTTTGGGTGTAACCTTCGATGCCTCCCTCTCTATGGAGGCGCAGGTTGCAGCTACAGCAAAGGCGGCATTTTTCCACCTTCACCGTGCTAAGCAGCTGGTCCCTTGCCTTTCCCGCCCTGACCTAGCCACAATGATCCACGCTACGGTCACCTCCAGGGTTGATTATTGTAACTCGCTCTACGTGGGGCTGCCCTTGAGACTGACCCAGAAACTCCAGCGGGTGCAGAATGCTGCTGCGAGGCTCCTTATGGGGTCCTCGCCATGGAATCATATTCACCCGGTGCTAAACCAGCTGCACTGGCTCCCGGTCGAGTACAGGGTCAGGTTTAAGGTGCTGGTTTTGACCTTTAAAGCCCTATGTGGCCTACGACCCTCGTATTTACGGGACCGCCTCTCCTGGTATGCCCTGTGGAGGACCTTACGGTCCACAAATAATACCTCAGAGGTCCTGGGTCTCAAGGATGTTAAACTGGCCTCAATCAGGGCCAAGTCCTTTTGGCTTTGGCCCCAGCCTGGTGGAACGCTCTATCACAGAAGACTAGGGCCCTGCGGGATTTGACATCCTTCCACAGGGCCTGCAGGACAAAGCTGTTCTGCCTGGCCTTCAGTCCAGGCCCAGATTGACGCCCCTCTATGGGGCCCTCTAAGTCACCTCTTTGGCCCTTTTATCGGCTCATGTGGGACCAAGATGGACAGCTGGCCCTGATGAATACTTGAGTTTCCCGACCACTATGGTTGTAATTCGTGGGCAATCATTAAATTTTATCCTGATTCTAATTTTTAAGATGTATTTTAATCAATTGTTTGATTGTGTTTCAATGTATTTGATATTTGATGTTAGCCGCCCTGAGCCCGGTCTTAGCTGGGGAGGGCAGGGTATAAATAAAAATTTACTTACTTTACTTACCTACTTTTTCTACAGATAATCTCTGCATTTCCCATGGCTGGCAGCAGCAACTGGACCCAGGTGACGGAGTTTGTTCTTCTGGGTTTCTCTGGGATCACGCATGGTCAGACGTACCTGTTCCTGGTGTTCTTGGTGATCTACTTGGTTACCCTGTTAGGGAACCTCACCATAGTCGGCCTGATCCTGCTGGATCCCCACCTTCATAGCCCCATGTACTTCTTCCTCAGTCATTTGTCTTGCATGGACGTTTGCTCCTCATCCGTCACTGTCCCCAAAATTTTGGCCAACCTCCTCTACAACCACCACGCCATCTCCTACCACGCGTGCCTGGCCCAGATGTTCTTCCTGATGGCTTTCTCAGGTTCTGAGTGCTGGCTGTTGGCCGCCATGGCATACGATCGCTATGCCGCCATTTGCCAGCCTTTGCATTACTCACACCTCATGAGTCCGTGTGTGTGTGTACAACTAGCCACCATCGTCTGGGTCGTGGGCTTCCTGGACTCAGTGGTTCACACAGCCTTGGCCTCCAAATTACACTTCTGTGCGGCCTTCCAGATCCACCACATCTTCTGCGACCTCCCACCGCTGCTGAAAATCGCCTGCGGGGACACGCGCATCAACGAAATTACCGTTCACATAGCCACCATCTTTATGGGCCTGGGCCCATTCCTGGTAGTCGTCATCTCCTACGTCTACATCTTGGCTTCCATCTTGCGGATCCGCTCCAACACTGGGCGGCACAGGGCCTTCTCCACCTGCACCTCCCACATGATAGTGGTCGTCCTCTACTTCGGAAATGGATTGGTGAACTACAACCGCCCCAGCGCAGGCTACTCCTTGGAGGTTGACACCCTGATCTCCACACTCTACTGCATCATCACCCCTATGCTGAACCCTCTCATCTATAGCCTCCGCAACAAGGAGGTGAAAGAAGCCCTGAAGAAGGTTCTGGGGGGGACAGGAGAAGGAATACGCTTCTACACAGAGAAAGTGAGAGGCGGACTTTGACCAGGGCATCTCTGCTCTCCTCTGACCCTGCCATTGCCCTTAGGGAGCTCAAGGTAATCCTCCAAGACCACAGAGAAACCCACTTCCTGTAGACTCCATTTCGCTCATATTTATAAACACGTTTTTATTATTTCCATGGAGACCCCCCCAAAGTATGTTATGAAAACCTATGTTTCTGTACAAACACCACAACTAATCAGCAAAGCATGTTCCTATGAAGTGATATGCAATTTAGGATAAACCTCAGGAACTGGTCTTTGGTATTCTGGAGAATTTGTAAATGAAATGAAGCTTCACCATTCTCCTGCAAAGATGTCTCTGTAAATTGTTCCTCTTGCCGGTCTTAGTTTGTGAGTCAATTGTTCCACCAGGGCCATACGGTCTTGTACCAATCATTCAAGTTTGCACCTTTTAAGTCCTTCCAGAATGTGACTATAACCATACCTGCAACCACAAAGAGAAATTCATTTCATGGTTTATCCAACAAGTCCTGATTCTCATTGAAATACGGATTGAGTAACACAAGTTCTGAAGACTTGCTGACATGCTGATGGGCAATTTTGCTTACGTCATTAAGCACTTGTTCCCCCAAATATGCCACCTTTGTGCATGTCCACCACAGGTGCCTATAGTTCCCATATTCAGAGAACTGCCGGCAACTGGTGAGACCTGTCAAAACTCATTATTCCAACCAGAGACTCTAAACTGTAGATTGCTGTATTTATTTACATTGAAGGCTTCTTCATGAACGATTGGCTCTGTAGGAGCCAATATATGCTAATCTCCTTACAGGTTCTCCTGTTTTCATAGGGCTGTTTCTTTTCACAGCTTGGGCCACAGCAGAGGTGACAGAGAAGCAGAAACAACCTTTGGGAGACCTAAGACCAGGAGCTCAAAGGAGAAGGGCTTGTAGTGCGGCTGCCCCTGTTCTGTGGAACAGCGTTTCTGTCAAGATAGGAGCCCACTAGCTGCACTTTCCGGGGGGGGGGGGGACAAAGACATTTTTCTTCTGGTAGCTGGATAAATGGGTCTTTGCAATGAGTGTCCACTTGATTGGATTTCAGCCCCGTTTTAAATGTGTTTGTTGTTTTTGTGTTTGTTTGTTTTTAAATTTTATTTATGCTTTTCAGGTTTATACATTTCACAAATTTTACAATCATTTAAAAATCATTTTACAAACATTAAACATCCTTTTCAATTCATTATATATCATTTCCCAGTTGTTGTTTTTGTGTTTTAACTGTTTGTGTCTATGAAGACCACTGAAGACCACTGGCGCACTGGGTTCAGTAATGTCCACTTTGACTGGCAGGAGATGTCAGGCAGAGAAAGCCCCTCTCCAGTTATTGGACCTTTTTAGTTGGAGATGCTTTGCCATTTAAACCTGACACACACACACACACACCCTTTGACATTCCCTTCCTAATGTTGCTGTGTTAAGTGTTCTAGGAGATACTAAATTAAAAAAAAAATCTTTATTTTTTTAAAAAGGACTGACAAATTCTTCTTTAGCTGAAACTCTAGGGAAGTAGCTACTAAAAAGGGACATGAGTGGTGCTGTGGTCTAAACCAGTGTTTCCCAACCTTTTTTGGGCAAAGGCACACTTGTTTGATGAAAAAAATCTCGAGGCACATCACCATTACAGCCCCGTGACGTCAGCGCGCAGCGTCACGCCGGGAGGGAAGGGCGCCGGGGCGCTGCTGCTGCTGCTGCCGCCGCCGCTCCCGGCAGGCATGGGCCCAGCTGAGGCGGCGGCGGCTGTTGTGGTGGTGGCGGCGATAGCGGGCGGAGGAGGGGGCGGCGGCGGGGCCGAGGTGGCCGGCGGCGGCGGGGGAGGCGGCGGCGGGTGGAGCAGGAGGGCGGCCGAGGCCGGTGAGGGAGTAGGGTTGCCCGGGGCTTGAGGAGCCGTCGCCGGGAGTTGCTGCTGCTGTTGTTGCTGCTGCTGCCCGGACATGCCGGCCTCCTCCTCGTCCGCTGTCTCACGCTCCTCCCTTTTGCGCGCGCTGCCCCGCCGCCGCCCCATTGGCCGGGTCCTGTCAGCTGATCCTGTGTTATTTCCTGTGTGTGTGTGTGTGTGAGGGGAGAATGGAGAGAAACCTCGGCACCACCACCGCGGAGCCGCCCCCGGCTCGACGCGGATCCTCGCCGCCGCCGCCCCGCCTCTCGCCGCCCGACTCGCCCGCCTCCCTCCCACGGCACACCAGGCAACGTCTCGCGGCACACCAGTGTGCCGCGGAACACCGGTTGGGAAACACTGGTCTAAACCATGGAGCACCTTGGGCTTGCAGATCAGAAGGTGGGCAGTTTTAATCCCCGTGACGGGGTGAGCTCCCATTGCTCTGTCCCAGCTCCTGCCAACCTAGCAGTTCAAAAGCAGCCAGTGCAAGTAGATAATTAGGTACAGCTGCAGCAGGAAAGTAAACGGTGTCTGTGGACAAACACTGGCTCCCTTAGCCTGAAAGGAAGATGAGCGCCACAACCCCATAGTCGCCTTTGACTGGACTCATCCGTCCAGGGGTCCTTTACCTTTACCTAGTTGTTACTTCAACCTGCTGAGCAGAGTCTCTTGTGTACCAGGCTGACCCGGAGGTAAGAACATAAGAAAACCTGCAGGATCAAGCCCACGGCTCATCTTCTCCAGCCTGTAAGATTGGAGTGTGTGTGGCGAGGGATTTGCAATGCATACAAAGGAAGTGGCAGTTGGACTTGGCAAGGCATTTTCCAAGGTACCAGAAGAAGAGTTAAGGCCCAATTTCTTGCATGGACAACAGATGGCTGTCCTGTCAGTTTGCATTTCTTAGTGCAGAAAGCATTGATCCTATTCTCATTAATTCAAGAGGGTTCTGGAAGCTTCTCTGTGTGAAAGAAGCAAGCAGAAGGTTCGTGATGTTTGGCTTATTCCTTCAGAGAAGCTGAGCACAGCTGGCTTAAACTGGTTCTCTTATCACGCTGACTATAATAATAAGGCCAGAAGGAGCCTGGGTTTCACTTTTCTCCCTTCCTGTCTCTCTTTCTGTCTGGTGTGGTGTTCTGTATGTAGTGTTAAGGTATAGACTTATTCTAAGTTGTTGTAAGTTTAAGTTAAGTCTGCTGCAACTGGATTTCTTATGGTCAGTGCCAATCCTGAATGTCTGGGCTTTGTGACCATGACGCTCATTTGCCTTCAGTAGCAGTAAAGCTCTGCTGAGTGAAATACAATTGCCTCTGGTCTATTTTCTGGGAATCCTGCAATGTGTTCAAGTTTTCACTCGGCTAACTATACATTGGAATCTACTATGGATCTATACTGAGTAGAATTTTCAATGACACATCCAACATTCCATATTCCCTTTATGCATTCTTTGAATTAAAAGGTGGGGTAGAAATACTTTGAGTGTGTAAATCAACAACTAGCCACTGAGCAATTCCTCTGATGGGACTCCCATTGCTCCATTCCTCTTGGCTTCCATAGACCCCCCGGGGAGAGTGGCTTTCATTTCCCAACTCTCCTTGTTAACTTGCGTGTTACAGTTGCAATGAGAGCATCCCTTGGGTCCCACCTGGGCATAACTCCTCTCTCCCTGCCTGGGATCCGCTAGTTGGATGCAACGCAGAGGGAGCCACCCGGCTCATCCGTGGCTCAGCTGGGAAGCAGGGATCTCCCTTCCAGAGCCCCGATGGCAGTCCCTCTCTTGCCACTTGGATGCCAGCGTGCTCTGGCCCCGTGAAGGTGGAGCAGGCAGGGGCAGGGAAAGGCTGGTGCAGAAGAAGCCTGAGGTTGAAGGGGAAGGACGACCTGGAGCTGAGCATCCTGACGGGGGCAGGAGCAAGCGCCCAGCCTCACTGGGCTCCCAGTGGGGGGGGGCCTCCAGGTTAGTAGCTTTACCGGACAGAGGGAGGACGGGGGATAGGGAAGCAATTCAGTCTGGTCTGCATTTGAACGCGAATCTGCCCCATTCACGCTTCCTGAAATGTTAAGAGAACAAGAACTCTGCTAGCCACTGAAATTTGCACTTCTCTGAATGTTGCAGAAAAAGGTGGGTTATAAATGCATTAAATAATAAATTCATTTATGGGACAATATATATGGGGCTAGGGACATGGGTGGCGCTGTGGGTTAAACCACAGAGCCTAGGACTTGCCAATCAGAAGGTCGTGATTTGAATCTCCGCAATGACGGGGTGAGCTCCTGTTGCTCAGTCCCTGCTCCTGCCCACCTAGCAGTTCGAAAGCACGTCAAAGTGCAAGTAGATAAATAGGTACCGCTCCAGCGGGAAGGTAAACGGCGTTTCCGTGCGCTGCTCTGCTTCTCCAGAAGCGGCTTAGTCATGCTGGCCTAATGACCCGGAAACTGTACGCCGGCTCCCTCGGCCAATAAAGCGAGATGAGCGCCGCAACCCCAGAGTCTTCCACGACTGGACCTAATGGTCAGGAGACCCTTTACCCTTTACCTATATATGGAGCTGACACAGCAAGAGATTTCTCCCCCCACCACCGCCCCTCCCCCAAATCTTATCCAATCCACACTTTTCAATGCACAAAGGAGTTTATAATTCTGGGCTTCACATCCCAATCCCTGAGCAGTGAGATATTTGGGCATGCAATGTTCACTTATGGTTGACTTTTTTGGAATGGGAGGTTCCTGGAGAGAGAAACTACCATGGAGTTACTGTCTCCATGCCATAACATAGTAGCTATGGAACATATAAGACTACATGAAGCTGCCTTATGCTGACTCAGACCTGGTCTCTGGTCTCTGAAACATTTGCTTTATCTGCAAATATAGAAGCAGAATAGAAGTGGAGGCGAACAAGCCCTCTTTCTTCAGCAGACAGCACACCACAAGAGATCATCTTGCTGCCCCCACCTGATTTCCAGTCTCTTCCAACTAGAAGTGTCACAGCAAAAGTGGCCCTGCAAAAGTCATCTTGTCCAATCTCCAGCAATGCAACAATCTCAGCTCAAGCATCCCTGACAGAGGGCGATCCAACCTCTGCTTAAAAACCTCCACGAAAGGAGAGTCCACCACCTTCTGAGAGAGCCCCTTCCACTACTGAATGGCTTTTACTGTCAAATAATTCTTCCCAATGTTTAATTGGAATCTCCTTTCTTCTACAGTGAGCCCAAAGCCTATGTGGGGGTTACAGTCTGGGAATTGCACTGGAAGCCAAAATCACATATAGTCAAAACACGCTGTGTCCAATAAATAGTGGAATTGCCAAAGTCATTTGTTCCCTGGGAACCTCCCCCCTTCTTTCCACACCCTTTTTATTTATTTTTGTGATTTTGGGTCATGTGCGTAAAGCCTAATGCGCACAAGTTAAATGCCCATAAGTTGTGGGCTTACTGTAATTTGGAGCCTCCTGTCTGGAGCAGCAGAAAACAAGTTTGCTCCACCTTCCATATTCAGATATTTGGAGAAGGCTCTCAGACCCCCTCTCAGTCCTCTGTGCTCCAGGACACAGACACCCTGCTCTCTCCCTTGGGGTCCATTCCGACTCCCCAATTCTATGATTATGTCTTCAGCCCTAGTCGGAACACTCTAACCACCACATCCCATTGGCTTCCCCACATCCTCAAAGCAGAACAAAAGGTTAATTGTGTTGCCTCTTCCAAGAAAGAGGAGGAGACATCAGCTTGCTTGTGGTGCTTCTCATTCCAGGTTCCTCTCCGGCTTCCTTTCCTGACCAAGGCAGGCCCTGAAGACTAGCGATGAGAATTCTGGGAGTGGAGAGGAAATGTCACGGCCACCAGCCAGTTGGGGATGTCTCCAACAGCACCCCTGATTCACCCAAGCAGGGTTGTTCCCGTTCCCCCTTGAAGGGAGAGGAGAGACGTCCGACCATCCCTGGAGGACCCTAACCCACCTACCACTGATTTGTAACAGCTGGCCTTGACACCAGACTATTGGGTGGGGAGGTTAAAGGAGAAAAACCGTTAGTTTGATGTGAATGATTTTTGGACTCTGGGGAGATGGAGGTTCATTTGCTTATTTGTGGGTCAGAGTGTTACTTAGTTTATTATTTGCATGTGGTCAGTGTTGTTTGCCCCTGTTTATATGGCTGGTTTTCCCCTCCCCACCAATGTAATGTTTTGTGAAATATCAATATATTATATGATTCCCCCCCTCCCTCCATGGTATTACGTATTGTATAATTTTTCTTTGCCGTAAGTCACTTGGAGACCTTCAGGTGACAAGAGACTAAGAAGTTTAATCAACAACAACACTGAATTAGACGGATCAATGGTCTGAGTGGGTAGAAGACCACTTACGATCATAGAATCACAGAACTGTAGCATAGTAAAGGGTCCCCCAAAGGTCCTCTAGTCTAACTCCCTGCAATGCAGGAACTTCCTCTCTTTCCCTTTTCTGCCTGGCAGCCTTTCCCTCAAACTCCATCCTTCTTTCTCTACAGATAATCTCCGCATTTTCCATGGCTGGCAGCAGCAACTGGACCCAGGTGACGGAGTTTGTTCTTCTGGGTTTCTCCGGGATCACGCATGGTCAGACCTACCTGTTCCTGGTGTTCTTGGTGATCTACTTGGTCACCCTGTTGGGGAACCTCACCATAGTCGGCCTGATCCTGCTGGATCCCCACCTTCATAGCCCCATGTACTTCTTCCTCAGCCATTTGTCTTGCATGGACGTTTGCTACTCCTCCGTCACTGTCCCCAGCATTTTGGCCAACCTCCTCCGCCGCCGCCACGCCATCTCCTACCACCCATGCCTGGTCCAGATGTTCTTCCTGATGGCTTTCTCAGGTTCTGAGTGCTGGCTGTTGGCCGCCATGGCATACGATCGCTATGCCGCCATTTGCCAGCCTTTGCGATACTCGCACCTCATGAGCCCGCGTGTGTGCGTGCAGCTAGCCACCACCATCTGGGTCTCAGGGTTCTTGGACTCAGTAGTCCATGCAGCCTTGGCCTCCAATTTACACTTCTGTGGGGCCTTCCAGATCCACCACATCTTCTGCGACCTCCCGCCGCTGCTGAAAATCGCCTGCGGGAACAAGAGCCTCAACGAAATTGTCATTCAGGTAGCCACCATCTTTGTGGGCCTGAGCCCGTTCCTGGTAGTCGTCGTCTCCTACGTCTACATCCTGGCTTCCATCTTGCGGATCCGCTCTAACACTGGCCGGCGCAAGGCCTTCTCCACCTGCACCTCCCACATGATAGTGGTTGTCCTCTACTTCGGAAATGGACTGGTGAACTACTACCGCCCCAGCGCCGGCTACTCTCTGGAGATAGACACCCTGCTCTCCACCATGTATTGCATCATCACCCCCATGCTGAACCCCCTCATCTACAGCCTCCGAAACAAGGAGGTGAAGGGCGCCCTGAGGAAGGTTCTGGAAAGCCAGAGGAAGTTCTGCACTTCCTCTCGCAAGCCGTGAGAGTGAAGGTGAGAGGGAGGGAAGGAGATGGAGCCAGCTGTCTTCCCGGCAAAGCCCAGTGGCCCCAAAACAGGGCATGAAAGGAGGTGCTAGATTCCCTCAGTCTGTGGTTCTCACTAGGCTACTGACCTTCCGGACTCCTTGGTTAACTCCTTAGTGGAAGGAGACAAACAAGAGGGAGTTAGTCCAAGAAAACTTGGGTTTTATTTGAAATTGTTCTAGACAAAGATACTCAACAGGCCTTGGGGGCCAGCTAATATAAATATATAAAGCCATTTTATTTCCCCAGAGAAACTTGGAAAATTCTCTTCATTTTAAATTCTTCATTTATTTTCCGTTGCCGCAGACAGCTTTTGTTATGACTAAAGCTTTATATTTTGTTGCTCACAGCTGTGTTTCTTTTTAATGTAAGTGACCCAGAAAATGTTGCTGTTGGGTGGCAAATAAATATTGTCAATAAAAAACAAATACACAAACAAAACCTTGTGCATTGTGCTTGGATGCTGAGTTAAGCCAAATCTTGTACTCTGTTGCAGTGAGTTGGGTGGGTGGGAAGAGGTGGGATTGGTAGGTTCATGAGCAAGTGTAAATCTGTGGGACCCTTCCCCAACTGTGTGAAGAAGCTTGCCAGAAGAAGAGTGAGTATCTTCAGCTGTTTCCAGAAAATACAAATAAGGGGCACCTGCCCCAACTGAACACAGATGTTGTACCAGCAGCAGGGCCTTGTCAGTAGTGGCGCCCGCCCTGTGGAACGCCCACCCATCAGAGGTCAAGGAAATAAATGACTATCTGACTTTAAGAAGACACCTGAAGGTAGCCCTGTTTAGGGTAGTTTATAATGTTTGATGTTTTATCGTGCTTTTAATATTCTGTTGGGAGCTGCCCAGAATGTCTGGGGTATAAATAATAAATTACAGTGGTGCCCCACAAGACGAATGCCTCGCAAGACGGAAAACCCGCTAGACAAAAGGGTTTTCCATTTGCGATGCGCTTCGCAAGACAAATTTCCCTATGGGCTTGCTTCGCAAGACGAAAATGTCTTGCGAGTCTCGCCATTCCCCCCCCCCCGCTTCCCCCCTTTTTCTAAGCCGCTAAGCCGCTAATAGCCTTTTAGCAGCCAAGCCGCTAAGACTTTAATAGCCGCTAAGCCGCTAAACCGCTAATAGCGCTAATCCGCTTAGCCGCTAATGGGGTTGCTTCGCAAGACGAAAAAACCGGTAGACGAAGAGAATCGTGGAACGGATTCTTTTCGTCTTGCGAGGCACCATTATTATACAAAACAGGGGCAGCCACTCTGAAGGCACTGCTCCAAACTGCCATGAACTAAGCTTTGGATATTTCAGGGACTTCAAGGATAGCCTTTCCTGCAGAACATAGTGACCTTCTGGGACTATCAGGGATTAAGGTAGCCTCAGACAAAGTGTTCCTTGCTGGTGGGAGTTTGCCCCCACAAGCAGCTTAGCTGCTGCAACCTGCAGCCTCCAGAGCAGTCTTGAGAGTAGCCTCACATGAAACCATAGAGCTGGAAGGGACTCCAAGGGTCCTCTAGTCCAACCCCCTGCAATGCAGGAATCTCAGGAAAAGCATCCATGACAGGTGGCCACCCGACTTCTGCTTAAAACCTCCAAGGAAGGAGAATCCACCACCTTCCAAGGGCATCCCTTCCACTGTTGAGCAGTTCTTGTTATCAGAAAGCTCTTCCTGATGTTGAGTTAGGATCTGTTACAAGATCTCCTTTCTTGTAACTTGAAGCCATGGGTTTGAGTCCTACCCTCCAGCGCAGGAGTAAACAAACTTGCTCCATCTTCCATGGGAAAACCCTTAATGTCTGGAGCTCCTCCATGGAAGAAGACTCTCTTCCTCTCTGGTCCAGGCACAGCCCAGGATGCTGGCAGCCTCCCAAAAGCTGTGCCCTTCCACATCTCCTGCGTTGGCTACTGCTTCCACCTTCTTACTAGCCACGGTAACTAGAGTCTCCTCCTCTTTGTCCTAACTGCCTACAATGCTGGTGGCTGGCAGGTGAGAGATAGAATTTTAATTTCCCCATAGCTCTTCCTTCCTTGCTTTCTCACCTGGCTTAGCAACATCCACACAGGAGCTCCAATGGTGAAAATGAGTCTCAAAGGGAATTTAAATCTCGCCAGGAGGACACACTTTCCATAACATGACTTAATAGCTCTGAGGATACTGCTGGCCTCCTGCCCCCTCCCTACCAGCAATTAAGGGTGCCCCAATTAAAGGACACCATCCATTCTGCTTGGCTCTAGCATACCTGCAAAAAAATCCTACTCCCATGGGACATTTTGATTAGCTGCAGCTGCAGCCTTCCTCTCTGTGGATTCTGGGTGCACAGATAACCCCATGGTCCACACACAAGGTAACAATTGCTCCCCTACAAGGAAAGACAGACAGCCACCCACAAGGCAGCCAGCAGAGAAGTTTGCTCACATGGGCCCTGGTGTCACCATGAGATCTTCAAGGCCCTTTCTTCGTGTCGCATTTGGAGAAGAGATTTTGCCCAAGCTGCCTCCTCACAACTGGTTGTATTCAGAACTTCTAGTGGTGGGAAATTAGGGCCTTAATGTATCTCCTTCCCAGGGTAAACGGAAGTTCAAGGCCTCCATTTCCCAAGGTGAGGAGGAGAAGGAATCCAGAGTTGGCCAGCCGTCAGCAGCTAACTAGTTAGCAAGAAACGGTGAGTTGCCTGGCTGTCATTTACCCACCTTCCAAATGACTGGAGTCTTCTTTGATTGAGGGCAATGCAAGGAATGTGTTACCATGAAATGAGAAGGGAGAGGGAAGTGGAAGAGGGACTGGAGCTCATTGCCAGAGCAGCTGCATTGCAAGCAAAACGTCCTTGGGTCAACCTTTTGGGCATCTCCAATTTAAAGCATCTTGGGTACCAGGCAGGGGAAAGGTCCTCGCCTCTGTGCCCATCCCTGAGAGATGCTGCCAGTTGTGCAGCTCAGGCTGGACTTTGGAGCCACAGGGACCACCAAATGACCACCCAGAGAGTGGGAGTTGGTGGGGTCACCAGCAAACAAGCCCCTCCTGGTCCCTGCAGCATCCTTCCATCTTATTTGCTCTTTTTAAATTCATAGTTAGCAGCTAAGCATATGCAAGTACTCATTAACAAAACGAGCATAATAGAGCTTTAAGCCACTGGAGTCAAGGTGGTCTTTTTTTTAAAAAAAGAAAAATCTTGTTTATTGAGTTTTACATTGCAAATTTAAATTCAAACATTAAACATCAACACCATCATTTAGGATCCCCTGAATTCTTTGACTCCCCTCCTCCCTTCCATTGTTACCATTATCAATCTTTTTTCAACTCCTTCACTTATTTTCTCTATTTTTCTTAAATAATCAATTTTACCTTAATTTTTAGTCCATTACAAGCGTTACTCAAATCCTGCCAGAGTTTTTAGTTGTTTACAGTGGTCTTTTAAATACATTGTAAATTTTCCCAATTCCTTTTTAAAGTTCTTCTCTTCCTGGTTTCTACTTTTCCCAGTTTCACCATCTTCATCAACCATTCACCTCTAGTCAGGACTTTCTCTTCTTTCCATCTCTGGGCTGGTAGTGTCTGTGCTGCTGTCATCGCATATTTAAATGATTGTTTCTGCTCCTTTGGTATCTCTGCACCTAAAATTCCTAGCAAAAAAGCCTGTTTTCCCCCACAAACTTTATTTTAAACATTTTTTTCAGCTCATTGTGTATCATTTCCCAGAATGTGGATGTAGTCTTAGATATTAATGTATCAATATGCTAGTGTTTAATTTTAAAACTGCCTTGAGGAGGTTTTTTTTAAAAACCTAAACTAAGGCCCGGGGGCTGGATCCAGCCCAATCGCCTTCTAAATCTGGCCCACGGACGGTCAGGGAATCAGCGTGTTTTTACATGAATAGAATGTGTCCGTTTATTTAAAATGCATCTATAGGTTATTTGTGGGGCATAGGAATCAGTTCACCCCCCCCCAAAAAAATATAGTCCGGCCCCCCACAAGGTCTGAGAGACAGTGGACCGGCCCCCTGCTGAAAAGGTTTGCTGACCCCTCCCCTAGCAGCACTCCTTTGATGTTCTCCACCCCTTTGGCAAACACAGGTTCTCTGAAGTGCTCTTCAGAATGGGGGTCCCAGTGCTGACACCTGGCTCAGTGACCCCCAAAGTCCCTGAAAATTCCAACCTGCAGATGCCCAGCTCCTTCCATGGAACCCTGCAGACACTTTCTTCTGCTCCTCTCAGTATTTCGACCTTGAAGCTCTTCATTACCCTCCTGATTTAATCCATCTGCTCTCCTCAGCCTTGAGCCATCAGAAGAGAGAGGATGCAGACCTCAGTGGAGGCAGGTTTATGCTCAAAACAGCAAGAGCAACAGCCGACAGGGCTGCTTGAAAAGGCGAAGTAAGAATGTGTGTCTTTATCCAGGCAGGCCTGGAGCTGGTCATCTCCCAGATTAAGTCTTCCATGTGGCCCAGAAGGATTCTGGTTCTCAATGTTCACAGTGAGTCAAAATGGTACCCAATATGTGGCTTGCCCCTAATTTCCCATGAGGCTTGCAGAGGAAAGGAAACTACTGGGAGCAGGGCTGGCTCAATGCATTTTGCTGCCAGAGGCAAACCAGAAAATGGTGTCCCTCTTGCCATTTGACCTGGCTAGAACATAGAACAGTCGCCAGGAAATAACTACCACCCACTATGGACTTAGAGGCACACTCTTAATCATTTTTCATGTATTTGTCCAGTGTTGTCCAGTGCATATTGAGCAAAGGTTTGGAACCAATGACTTTCAAAGCCTGTTCTATCCCTAAAATGCTCTGATTCTAATTGGAGCAAGCGCCCCAGATCTTTGCAATTTAACGGCACAGTTTGCAGAGATTGTAATAATGAGGATTTTTACTCAGGCGGCGGGGGGGGGAGCCCACTTACGTCCAATGGATCTTATTCTCGGGAAACCGCAGCGGATTTGTTTGTTTGTGGGGGTTAAGAAAGTCCCTCAACCTCACCCCTCGCCTCAACTGAGCCTTCGGTCCTGAAACAAAAATCATTGAAATTGACAATATAAAAAACACAAAACTGAACTTAACTACACGGTTTGGTTTACGCGACCGCAGTCTGAAAGCACCTCTAAGGCTAGGATCCTAGGCACAGTTAACATGTGAGTAAGACCAGTTCAACATAATGGGGCTCACCACTGAGTCCATTCACACAAGGGATCGTACTGAACTTTCTAGTGAAAGGTTGGCATGTTTAATTATTCCACTGAAATCAACGGGAGTTGAAATTGTCTAATTGATATCTGCCATAGTCCTGTTGCCAAACATCAGAATGCAGAGCTTCGTGGAGTGTATGGCCAAAAATAAAAAATAAAAAAACCAAAAGAGAAGAGTCTCTGAGTTACGTTTGGCATACAAAGTCAAGTCTGTTCTGAGGGTTGGGCAAACAGCAATCAACATAGTCAGGTGAGCCAGAGGTCAGGGATGCCCATGAAGCCAAGAGTCCAGACAGAGAGCAGGAAGCAGCAAAGTATGGCCAGGAACCACAGGCACTGTTTCCAGCATCTAAATCGGGCATAGACAAACTCCGGCCCTCCAGATGTTTGGGACTACAATTCCCATCATCCCTAGCTAACACGACCAGTGGTCAGGGATGATGGGAATTGTAATCCCAAACCTCTGGAAGGTTGGAGTTTGCCAGATCTAAGTGCTGCTGGAAGTTCTGCTTAAGAAGGCTGAAGCCGGCTGGTTCTCATCAGTGCCTTCTCCTCTGTGACCTGGAAGGCTGATCAGGTGCAGGTGGAGTCACTCCTCCATCTCCCCCTCCAGGCTGCTGTTCAGCAGGTGAAGCTGACTCCTGGCCCAGGACAATATCAGAGTCACCCCTCTTTCCCCCCATCCACACCCCTAAGTTTTAGACTTGGAAAAGGACACTGGGATAGTTCAAGGCAACCCAAATGCACCTCCTTGTTCCAGGTGGAGATAAGAGATTTAGGGTTTTACCAAAATGGTGCATTTGAAGAGACATTTGAAGGGGGAAAGAATGTATAGTTGCCTCTTGGTATTATTTTTGAAATAAACTCTGGGGAAAGCAAATGAGAATGGAGGGGGGGGAAATCTTCTTCTGAATTGAACTTGATAGTACAGATATCTTTCTATAGCAGAGTGACCCCTGAAGCCTTTTAACTTCCCTCAACACCGCATTTATCTCTCCTCAGATCCCCCTCTTTTCTTCTTCATGGACACAGAGAATCAAACCCAGGTTGGGGAGTTTATCTTCTTGGGTCTCTCCAGAGCCCCAGGTGACCAAGCTCCCCTCTTCTTGGTCTTCCTAGCTGCCTATTTGGCCATCGTCACGGGCAACCTCATGATATTAATGGTGGTCCTGATGGATTCCCGCCTTCACAGCCCCATGTACTTCTTCCTCAGCCACCTCTCTTGCTTGGACATTTGTGTTTCTTCTGTCGTTGTGCCAAAGATCCTGGTGAACCTTCTGCGCCAGAGTCACACCATCTCCTACAACCAGTGCATGGCACAAACATTCTTTCTGATTGGCTTTGCTGGGTGTGAGCCTGCCCTGTTAGCCGTCATGGCCTATGATCGCTATGCCGCCATTTGCCAGCCATTGCACTACAGCCGTCTCATGAGGAACAGGCTGTGCATCCATCTCGCTGTGGCCTCCTGGGTCTGGGGCTTCCTGGACTCAGCGATTCACACTGCCTTGGCCTCCAAGCTTCGCTTCTGTGGAGCCAACCAGATTCCACAAATCTTTTGTGATGTGCCACCACTGTTGAAGATCGCCTGCAGTGATACGAGCATCAATGAACTGGCCACTCACATCACCAGCATCTTTGTGGGTCTGAGCCCCTTCCTCTTCATCATCTTCTCCTATTTCTACATCCTGGCCTCCATTCTGAAGATTCACTCCAACACTGGCAGGAAGAAAGCCTTCTCCACCTGTGCCTCACACTTGGTTGTGGTCACCCTCTGTGTCGGAAACGGATTCCTAAACTACAACCGCCCAAGCACCGGCTACTCTCTGGAGATAGACACACTGATCTCCGCGATGTTCTGCATTGTCACCCCCATGCTGAACCCCCTCATCTACAGCCTCCGCAATAAGGAGGTGAAGGAAGCCCTGAGGAAGCTTCTGAATTGCCGGGGGATAGTTTGAATGTCATTTCTGGCTGTCTATATTGCAGGGTCCCGCTGGAACATGTCTGTTAGAACAGTGAAACTGATGAGTGGGAATTAATGAAGAGGGAGAAACTGTAGACACTGACAAATCCAATGAGAGAGACTTTCCTTAATATTATGGGTGGATAACACCTTCCAAGGCATGACTGGAATGCCAGGGTGGGAAGAGAGGGAGGAAGGGTAGGTGGGCTTTGCGAGGCACCTCATTTGCTTCCAGTCCAAGGCTAAGAAATGTCATCTAACAGCTCTCTGGTTACAGTGTTTGGAGTGGGGCAATGGTAGCATCTTGAAACCAGAAACATTTTTTTCCACTGGCTCCATTCTTTTGTTAGTTCTTTGAGAGATAGAACATAGGGAGATGATAGGAAAAAGGTGTCTTTGTTGGAGACTCCAGCAGGTGGCAGCAGAGGGCGGCTTTGATGGCTCTGCAGCGTCAAGCCAATAGGAATTGCTAGAGTAGCTTTAGGCTTCCATTCCTAGGTAAATTTCAGCAATAGTGATTTCAGCCAGCAATGCTTTGTCCCATGAAACATCTTAGAAATACAACAGAATTCCAAAAATCCAAACTGTGTTTCTTCCCTACAGCCTGCATTCCAGCCTCCATTGATCTTAGACTGTGCAACTCTTGGAGACCCATTTACGTCCTTTTAGTTCTCTGCGGCATTCATAGAAACAACCAGCGCTTTTTCAACATGGCGGATTTGCAACTCCATAGCCTCATCACATGATCAAAGGTTACACACAGTTTAGAGTAAAACAACCAACAGGTAATTATTAGCACATTTAGGAGCTTAGAGTCCCTTAAAAAACTACTGTGGAGAAACCCCATGTTAGCAAGACATATTTAGCCATATTTCCATTTTAAACCTTCATTAATACACAGGCATTTCCCATTTCTGTGTCAATTACACCAATTATACTTAAGAGGCTCTACCCTACAACATTGCTTCCAATCTCTTCTGCTGGGGGGAGAGATGACTTTTTCTGGGATTTTTCACCTTTCTTCCTTAGGGGATATGACAATATCTTTAGCACAGAGGGGCAGCCATAACCTGGGACCTTCCTTTGGGCAGACTCAAAGAGTGGGAAGACGTCCCAAGAGTCATCTAGTGCAACCCCTTGCAACATGAGTGCCAGGACAGGTCTGTATTTTCTTCTCACAAGGTGGGCCTTGCTACACAACCACCCTCTCTACTCCCCGCCCACCTTCTCTGGCCCTGGGATCCTCCCACCTGGCTCTCCTCACCGGATCACCTGGAAGCAGCAGTTGACATTTCCATTCCACCTTAAGGAGCAGATGGGTGGAATTGTTGCGTGTCACATGTCTGTTTACATTCCAGCACAGCTCGCTGGGAACTTCCATTGTGTGTATAGCTTTTACTTTTGGCTGTTCTCTCTGAGACGACATGAGAGAGAGAGACGACATGTTTCTTTGTCCTGATTTATGCTTAATAAATCTGTAGTTGTAGTATGCTTCCACAAGCCTCACGCCTATTCTGTGTGCGCAATTCGATCTGCTGATAGTGTGCCCTGGCTCAGAAGCCTGGGTCGCTGATTTACGTCGGGGCAGAGGTGAGGGTCTCCACAGCGGGATAGCTGGAAGGAGACAGCCCAGCCAGGGCTAGCCAGCTAGCCATCCGGCCCTCTGCATGCTGATACTCTGGCCCTGGGATCCTCCCACCTGGCTTTCCTCACCGGATCTCCTGGAAGTAGCAGCAGATTCCCAAACTGAATGTCCCACACCAGCTGTCGGGGTCCACATTGTAGCTGCTACTGTACATCAATCATCCAAGTTCACTCCAACCCAGAGCAAACATTTTAGGTTGGAGAGAGTGGGGAAGAAGGAGAGGTGGGGTTTGCTTAGTGAGACAACTTGCTTTCTCCTAATCCGAGGCTCATCCAACATGCCTCCAAGCAAAGTGTTTGGATGGGGACATCTTAAAACCATGAAGTTTTTATAACTGAACTGGCTTCACTCTTTTATAAATTCTTTGAGAGATAAAACACCTTGCTGCAGTTGACGTGGCTGCCAATAGAGGACCATGCCAACTATGGTGCTTGATGACCTCTTACATGTTATGTATATGGCAAGATATATGTACAGTGGTACCTCAGGGTACATACGCTTCAGGTTACATACGCTTCAGGTTACATACACTTCAGGTTACAGACTCCGCTAACCCAGAAATAGTGCTTCAGGTTAAGAACTTTGCTTCAGGATGAGAACAGAAATCGGGCTCCGGCGGCGCGGTAGCAGCAGGAGGCCCCATTAGCTAAAGTGGTGCTTCAGGTTCACCCCAAGTTCACCATCAGATCACATAGCATGTCTATGGCTACAGCCTGCACCAAAAGAATCATGCACCCACTGTTTCATGGGGCCGCAATGGCACAAAAATGTGGTTACAAAGCACAGGTCCACATTGATCCTCAGGATTTTTGCATTGGGCTACCCCAAACTCACCATCAGATCACATGTCTGTGGCCACAGCATGAACCACAAAAATCATACATCCACTGTTTTGTTCAGAATTTTTTTTTTCTTGTTTTCCTCCTCTAAAAACTAGGTGCGTCTTTTTGTCAGGTGTGCCTTATGGAGCGAAAAATACGGTAGCTATTCCCTGACCCCCTGGGGTCCCACCCTGCACCCTTGGCACCAATGTTTTCTACCAAGACAAAAAAACCCCGGGGGAGAGATGTTTTCCCTGCGCTGCTTCATCTTTCTTCCTTGTGACGCAAATGCCCAGCATTCAGGGGCTCCTCAAACACTCAAGAACAGCCCTCTTCCCTGATAGAGCTGGACCCACAGGATGCAGGCAGGACACAGCCATGTTTGAGGGTCTCTGGTGAGGAAGGCAACCATAACTTTCTCTGGGCAGAACATGAGTCCAAGCCTTGCCTCCCTCCTGTCCTGAGGGGGGAAAGGTGGAGACCTTAAAACCCACCCATTCTCTCTCTCTCCTTCTTCCATCTCTGGCCCGGGGATCCTTCTGCCTGGCTCTCCTCACTGGGTGACCTGGAAGCAGGAGCAGCATCTGAAACCAGCGGTCTCTACAGCCTTCCAGGAGCAGCCACAGCCTCCCCCTGAGTTCATTCGGCAGGAAGATGCCAGGTGAGGAGCAGAGAAAGGAAGGGAGCCGTGAATTGGCCCCCAGACCCAAGAAAGTTTTCGTTTGCAATGGGGATTGAGGGAGGAATCGCTCATCTGTAGGCACCAGTTCGTTGAAAACCATGCAGATTTTAAACTGGCTGTTGTGTAACATTGTGCAGGGTGGTTAAATGAATCATAGAAAAAGGGAGAAAGCAATCTGGGAAATGTGTTAATTGTGCAGGCTGTGTGATTTAGAGCTGGCCACAAAGCGATGCAATCTTCCATGCAGGACAGCAAAGCTTCGAAATGCTCAGTCAAAGTGTTAAGCAACCTGCTTGGGTTGGATTCACTCTGCCAGAGTAAGGATGGGCAAATCTCTAATTTTCTCATATTTGCACAGCAGTTTGAGAATCATTTCCTTCAATCCCACATGGAGATTCATCAGCATTTTGGTGCAAACTTCTCTCAATATATACATTTTTGTTTTGCAATTTTACCTAATATGCAGATTTTTGCAAAGAAATTCCCTGCGACATAACCCGCCTCTCTCTATGTTATTTGCTCCGTGATGTGTACTTATATGCTCACTTAACCCCAGGATATGCATTGTGTACAGGCTACTTGAATGGAGAACTACATTGCAAAATTCAGAGAAGTGTGAATTTCAACCAGTGCCTGAGTTTTGATTTCCATATTGTTTCAGCAAGTGCAAATTAGGTTGGTTTTCCTTTAAATGTGAGTTGAATTGAATACCATGCCCCCCAACCCTAGCCCAGAGTGATTTTATGCTTCTTAAAATCCTGCCAAGGGAGGTGGCAATTCAAAAGAAGCGTTGAGTACAGAGAAAAGGGAGCTTCAAAATGCTCTGTGGTGCGAGTTTTCTGGTGTTCAGTTCTGTATTCTACTAGTCTCTATTTCTGCTTGTAGAAATATGCTTGCTTGCTTTTGAAAAACAAAACCCCCTCAGTGTCTTTCCAGGCCTGCTTTCTTCAAACCTCTGCCATTATTAAAACCCACGATTTTGGTCCCTTTTCCCCTCCACTCCTCTTTAACTTCTGCCATTGCTTCTGTAAAGCAAGAAACCATGCACTCCAACTGTCTTTTAAAGGTATGGATCTGGTTCTGTATTTACCTAGAAAGCATGCAAAAGAACGTTGGGTGGGACAGATATCTGTTTATAACAGGATGACTACTACTGGGCTTCCCTCAACTTCACTTTTCTCTTTCTCAGATCCTCCTCTTTCCTTCCTCATGGATGCAAAGAATCAAACGCAGGTGGAAGAGTTTATCTTCTTGGGTCTCTCCAGAGCCCCAGGCGACCAAGCTCCCCTCTTCTTGGTCTTCCTAGCTGCCTATTTGGCCATCGTCACGGGCAACCTCATGATATTAATCGTGGTCCTGATGGATTCCCGCCTTCACAGCCCCATGTACTTTTTCCTCAGTCACCTCTCTTGCTTGGACATTTGTGTTTCTTCTGTTGTCGTGCCAAAGATCCTGGTGAACTTCCTGCGCCAGAGTCACACCATCTCCTACAACCAGTGCCTGGCACAAGCTTTCTTTCTGATTGGCTTTGCTGGGTGTGAGCCTGCCCTGTTGGCCGTCATGGCCTATGACCGCTATGCCGCCATTTGCCAGCCATTGCACTACAGCCGTCTCATGAGGCACAGGCTGTGCATCTATCTCGCTGTGGCCTCCTGGGTCTGGGGCTTCCTGGACACAGCGATTCACACTGCCTTGGCCTCCAAGCTTCGCTTCTGTGGAGCCAACCAGATTCCACAAATCTTTTGCGATGTTCCCCCGCTGTTGAAAATCGCCTGCAGTGATACGAGCATCAATGAACTGGCCACTCACATCACCAGCATCTTTGTGGGCCTGGGTCCCTTACTCTT